TTATGAAGAATATAATTGATTCTTACATCCCCATAAGATTGCTTTATTTATTTATAAATGGTTGTTTCCTTTCTAACCAATACCTACTTCAAAAAAAATTAAAAATCCACTAATGTCTCTTTTCCTGAAATCATTTATCATTCTTACGGCTTTCTTCAGAACTGACTTCAGTTTCTCTTCATTTTTGCGAGTAGTTATATTTTGAAAATGGCAGCATTTCCAGCCTCAGCCTCCGTACCTGCTACTTGTTCAGAGGGAACGTGCAGCAAGCGAAAGGGCAGAGCAAGCCTCTCCTCCCTGGCTCCCCAGCCACACTTTGCATTAATAGAAAAGCAGCCTCTACGCGTTATTTGGTCCTTTGTTGTCTGGTAAGAGTTACGCTAAGGAAACAGTTCTCGGTACCATTTAAAAAACTTTATTTCCTTTCGCAGCCTCTTCTAGGTTGAGAGCTTTGTTCAGGACAGGTCCATCCAGCAGGAGCTCCTTAGGGGCAGGGAAATGCCACCACTACCTGGTAGCCATCTGATTTAAAGAACACAAACTGAGTGACAATTCTACATACCTTTATTTTTAAATGGACTGGTACTTCCACTTACTTCTTGGGATGTTTCCTGATGGCAAACTCTTCAGATAAGTTTGCAGGATTAGACTAAAACAACAGGCCAACAACACACTGCATTTGAAGGGATTCCCCCATGGTAAATATTTTCCAGGCAGCTTTAATTTAAACTCTGTCTTATTTAAAGATTTTTGTGATCGCATTTCTGATACAGGTACCCTCAATACGGAGTATTCAAAGGTGATATCATAGAGTAAGATTGGTTTCAAAGTCAGTATATTAGAATGGTTTCTTGCATTGTAGGTTGAGAGTCTTCAGGATTAATGTTTTAAAGGTTCTTTTTTGCAATAATAACTAGGAATCTTAAAAGTATAAACCTATGGGAGTTAGAGCTTTGAGAAATCACTGGGAATATTTAAAATGTATTTAAAATATTCAGTATATGACAAAATTTCGTAATATTTTATAGTTTGAAGGACATTTCAAATTAAGTATTTGTACTGTTAAACCAGTTTAAGATCCTGGGCATGCAAAACCTATTTGACTTCATTAAGGCTCTGCTGAGACACCGGCTTGATTGCAGAATGAAAGCACATCTTAGATAAGCCTTCTTCTGATTAAGCAATGCCACTTTGCTTGTCACATGCTATGGCAGGTAATGCAAAACCCAAAAACCCTCCCAACCGGAAAAAAAAAAAAAAAAAAAAAACCAAAAAACTCACACCAAAGT